ATATACACAACAGGATATTATTCAGCCATAAGAAGAAAACAAATCCTACCATTTGAAACAACATGGATGGAGCTAGAGGGTATTATGCTTAGTGAAATAAGCCAGGTGGAGAAAGACAAGTGTCAAATGATTTCATTCATCTGTGGAGTATAAGAACAAAGAAAAACCTGAAGGAACAAAACAGCAGCAGACTCACAGAACTCAAGAATGGACTAACAGTTACCAAAGGGAAAGGGACTGGGGGGGATGAGTGGGAAGGGAAGGATACGGGGAAAAAGGGGCATTACAATTAGCACACATAATGTAGGGGGGGCGCACAGGGAAGGCAGCATAGCACAGAGAAGACAAGTAGTGATTCTATAGCATCTTACTACACTGATGGACAGTGACTGTAATGGGATATGTGATGGGGACTTGATAATGGGGGGAGTCTAGTAACCACAATGTTGCTCATATAAGTACATATTAATGATACCAAAAAAAAAAAAAGAATGTACTCTTCCTATTGAATAGTGGCTCAACAATTTCCCAGCAAGTCACTCTCTAGTCCTACTTTTCTCATCTTTGAAATGGGGATTAGTATCAGGAACAAGAAAAGGATTCCCACTCTTGACACTTTTATCCAACATAGTTTTAGAAGTCCTAGCCAGAGAAATTAGGTAGGAAAAAGAAGTAAAAGCCATTCAAATTGAAAAGAAAGAAGTAAAATGGTCACTATTTGTGGATGACATAATTTTATACATAGAAAAACCTTGATTCATCAAAAAATTATTAGAATTAATAAATTCAGTGAAGTTGAAGGATACAAAATATATAAAAATGTGTTCTTTTTATATACTAACAATGAACTATCAGGAAGAGAATTAAGAAAAAAACTATAAGACACTCATGAAAGAAATTTAAGATGACACAAATAAATGGAAAGTGACTCCATGTTTATGGAATGGGAGAATCAATATTATTAAAATGTCCATATTGCCCAAAGCAATCTACAGACTCAATGCAATCCCTATCAAAATTCCAATGGCATTTTTCACAGAACTGGAGGAATTCTAAAATTTGTATGGAAACACAAAAGATATTGAGTAGCCAATGTTAACTTGAGAAAGAAGAGCAAAGCTATAGGTATCATGCACCCTGATTTCAAACTATAATACAAAGCTATAGTAATTAAACAGTACAGTATTGGCATAAAAAGAGACACATAGATCAATGGTACAGAATAGAGAGCCTTGAAATAAATACATGCATATATGGTTGATTAAGGGAAGCGCAAATAAAACCACAATGAGATATTACTTTACACCTGTCAGAATGGCTGATATTAGAAAGACAAGCAATAACAAGTATTTAAGTGTTGGTGAGGAGGTAGAGAAAAAGGAACCCTTGTGTACTGCTTCGGGGAAGGTAAATTAGTGCAACCACTATGGAAAACAGAGTGCAGATTCCTCAAAAAATTTAAAATAGAATTACCATATGATTTAGCAATCTCACTACTGGGTATTTACCCAAAGAAAATGAAAACATTAATTCAAAAAGATATATGCACTCCTATGTTTATCACAGAACTATTCACAATAGCCAAGGTATGGAAACAACCTAAGTATCTATCAATTTTAGATGAATGGATAAAGAAGATGTGGTGTTTACAGACAGACACACACACACACACACACACACACACACACACACACACACACACACACAATGGAATACTACTTAGTCATAAAAAAGAATGAAATCTTACCATTTTCAACCACATGGACAGACCTTGAGGGTATTATTCTAAGTGAAGTAAGTCAGACAGAGAAAGACGAATACAATATGATTTCACTTATATGTGGACTCTGAAAAACAAAACTCATGGATACATAGAATGGATTGGTGGTTGCTAGAAAGGAGGAGCTTTGGGCGGGGTGAAAGAAATGGGTGAAGGAGTTCAAGATATACAAATTTCCAGTTATAAAACAAATACAGGGACATAATATACAGTATGGTGACAACAGTCAATAATACTGCATTGCATATTTGAAAGTTGCTAAATCTTAAAAGTTCTCTTCATGGGTGAAAAAAGCATTTCTAACTTTTTATGATGACAGATGGTAACTAGACTTATTAAGTGGCGGTCATTTCAAAGCATACACAAATATTTATTTGTTATGTTATACACCTGAAACTATATGTGTCAATTATACTTCAGCTTAAAAAGAAGAAAGAAATAGGGATAATAATGCCAATCTTAGAATGGCAAATGTTGTATGAGTTCACCTATGCAAAACACATAGCATTAATTAAGTGGTAGCTTTAATATATGCCATTGGATGGTATCTGTGAAAAAAGAGTTTGTGGTTAAAGGAATGCTGCAAATGCACCAACTACATTCCCCTTCTCAGAGATACCCAGGGTACATTAGCATAGTAAAAGCTCTGAAAGTCCTATGTAGAGGATCCCATTTAATTTGTTTTGGCCTAGAGTTCCCCAAACCTTTTGCCAAGATGACCCTCTCCCCCTTTTTAAAGTTAATACATTTTAGGAAACACATATTAGTTGTATTGTATTTAATTAATAAGGGACCTTATATTGCAGTATTAAAAACTGATCATGTTATACTGTTTTGCTTTTCCCACAGGCATGTATAATTTAAAAGAAGCAGCCTAGGAGAAATAAAGGTTACTAACCTAGAAAAACAACAGTGTGCTGTAAAAGCCCAAAGGAAATGAGAAATTTCAGGCAGAAGGAGCAGATCAATAATGAGCTATCTTTGGCTAAGGGAGACATTTGCAGAATTGCAAATTCTTGGAATTCAACAGCATGCTAAAGTTCAGCTCCTTTAAATTCACACCCAGTACAGAAATTCCCCTTCATCAGTCCCAGCCCCTGCTGGCACATAACCAGCCTCCCCATTTTAGGCAGTACAGTGATTAGGAATTTCTCTCTCACAATGGGCTGAAATGTCTCCTTGGAACCTCCACCCAAGATCGTGTTAAAAGAGTTTAGAGTTTTGTGTTTAATTAGAGCTATCTCTTTGGAGATAGTAAATAACATGCAGAGAAATTTTGTGAATCATTACACAATGTAAGGTAACATGACTGTCAACTGAGCAGTGAACTGAAAAATAAGAATAGTTGAAAATGTTTCACTTTCTCCATCTGTAAATAGGGTGCATAATTAAAAAATTCAGCTATACTGTAAGCAATGGATGTAATATTTCTTATCTGGGTGGAATTTTTTGCAATTGGGAATTTCAGAGAAAAAAGAGGATTGAAAATTTTAAATGACATCTATTTTCCCATCTTTTTAAAATTTTTTAAATATTTAAAGAGACATTTCTAAACTCTTTGCCTACAGCTTATCTTTCCAGCTTCCTTTATTATGAAAACAAGTGTCAAATAATTTAAATATAGCATATGTCTCATAAATGTAGGTTTGTCAACAAGAGTCAATAATAAGAGCATTTCTTTATTTTATAGAAATGTAGCTGATCCAATGTAGAATTTTCAAAAGCTTTGTAAAACTTAAGACCTTCAGGGAAACTCCAAGGGAGCAAATGGAAAAGAACCATCAGAGTCCAGACTCCTCTAAGAATCCAACATAATTCAAAAAAAAATTAGGGACTTGGCAAAACCATAAAAACTATGGGCTGTATTTTCATAAAATGGTCTTTCCAAAGCAGAACTTTCTAGACTCAACTTTGTTTTGCATTAAACTGCTACTTGATCACATTTTAGAATCTGTACCTCATTTTGATACTGAAAGGCAAAAGGTTCACTTTCCTATGTTACAATGGAAGAAACTAAAGTAAATCAAAATGGACTCACACTGGACAATACTCAACTACTCTAAGTTCTGACATTCCAGCAGCTGGGTGTGCTCCTTTCAGTGAAATCATTTCCTTCAGTTGAATTCAATAGTTTTCTTATACTGACAGTGGAAAACAAATACAGGCCTGAAGAGGAAGAGTCTGTCTTAGGGCTAACAGATGCTGTCGGTGAGTGCTGTAAAAAGCTTAGCATGCACTGCCTGCCTGGGGATTTCATAATCTGCTCAGCTGTAGTGTCCATTAGAACTTACTGATATACACAACAGAGGATGTTTTCATCATTGTCCTTGAAACAGCAAAAGTATTACAGATCACATTGTCTATTCTTCCCACATGTATGAGGGCAACTTATGCAGTGCCAGGCATTCATAGGAACCTAATATGAGGCTGCATAAAACCTGGTCCCTGACTTCATGGAACTGGCAGTCGAGTAAGAGACAAGCAAACCAATAATTTCCATAGGACAAGTTCTTTGTTGAACCAGGCACGTGATGCTAGGGGAAGGCAGGCAAGAGCAGACACGTGAGATTGGGTAGTGGGACCAGGCTTCTATGCTGTCACTAGCAGACCATAACCGTCTGTGACTCTGACTTCAATTCCCAGCACTCAGGTGAGAAAGGATCTCCTGACCCTGCTTTTCAGAGCTGACACTGTAATGGGCAGATTTGGTGCTTGTGTTCTAAGAGAGAGGAAGAGAGAGACAGGGAGAGGAAACAAGGAGCAGAAGTTAAAAATTCAATCCCAGACAGGTTCTGGAAGTTGCCAGAGATGGCCCAGGGTATGAAGGGTGACCAGCTTGTGCCTGACACTCAATGTCCTTGACACGGGTGCAAATTCTAATCTATGGTCACCCTCTCTCTTTGCCAAGCACAAGGACAGGGAACACAGTCTCCTTCAATCAAAGGAGCCTTGCTGAGTGAGCCACCCCAGTGACGTGCTGCCTTCCACCACCAGTGAGGGCAGCAAAGGAAGGTGAGACCCCTGTGCTCTCCCAGAGAGGGAGGCCAGACTCCTCTGCCAGCTCTCCAGGAGACCTCTCCACACAGGATGCACCAAACACCTGATGTTTTCCACCTTCCCAGAGATGGGCTACATCTGTGATTCTGCTGCTGCCCCCTTTGGGACCCCGTTCCCTACCTGAGACCCCACCAAAGAGCTGGGAAAAAGTGTGAGTCGTTACCTTAAATTATCCTCCAGGGTCTCCTCATCTGAAAAGAAGGTCCCATTGCTGACACTCTGGAGAGAGTGATTCCTCTTCCCCACTGACGCCTCCTGGGACAATGTGGTGTCTTTCTTTTTCCTTTTGCCAAAAAACTTCTTAAAAGGCTGGAATTTGCCTCCCGTCTTCTGGTCTGTGGATTACAAGATAAACACACGCTGCAGTTTGACAGGGCTGCACCTCGGAGCCTAAGAGCAAATTACAACGGAGCTGCCTCCAGGCGAGGGAGCAGGGGCAAAGGGCGGCATCGGAGTGCCAGGAACGGCGGGGCCAGCCCCTCTCCATGCAGTCAGGCCGAGATATGCAGAGCGAGTCTTCTGCCACCCAGGCTCCCAAGAAGCACTTGAGGACAACATGAAGGGCCTCTAACCTTCAAGGCAGCTGGCACAGCACCCCCTTTGCAAGCCACATAAAGGTGGTGCCTGCTTTCTTTATCAAAGCAGACTGCCAGTGCCCTTCTCCATAGAAGAAGCTGAGAAAAGCATTAAAGTCAGACAGGTGTTTATATTTATATATATATATATATATATAATCTCCTCTAGGAATCACTCTTTTAGCTTTTGTTAGATACAGATAATAACTGCTAACTCTTGGCATAAGCTTTGCCTCCAATTCCCTCCATCCCATGTATTTCCATTTTTTTTTCTTGTCTCCCTTTAAAATCTACTATGAAGAGCCCCAAAGGAGTTGCTAATGTACATATGTCCATAAATTACTTAACCTAGTCAGGACCCAGGCTCACTGCCAGCATTCACTACAGATATTTTAGGTGATACCTTTCAGTTCTTCAGATCACTTCATTTATTCCTCGGAAAAGTGTAAATCACCCCATACCCAAAGAAGTATCTTCTCTGATCTTCTTTTCCTAAGAAGCTTACACAGCCGCTTATCCAAAGGTTAGACAATCTTTTCATTTTTTTAATTACTAACCCCTTTCTGTGCACCACTGCTCTAAGAACTCTACAAATATTAACTTAGTTAATTCCTACAACAACCCGTGACGTACGTACTATTAACAGCCCCATTCTACAGTGAGGAACCCGAGGACAGTGAGATGGGACGACTGGTCTGTGTCACGGGAACCACACCTTCGAAGAGGGAGTCAGGAGCACCGAGGAAAAGGACAGACGATGCGTACGGGAAAATACCTGCATGTATACAACATGGGTACGAGCCCCAAGGGCGTATCAGAGCTGCCAGACCCCTGCTGGCCAGCCGACAGAGAGATCTGGGTATGAAAATAAGGTTAATGATGTTCAAGGGAGTCATCTCACTTCCTCAGGTGATTGTTCAATTCTGGTCTTTCTGAGGGAGAATTTAAAGTGAGGAAGAAGGGGTTTAAACGACTTAGCTCTGAGCTGTGATGACGTAAGACGGTGGAGGAGCCACCATTTGATCTATCACCATTGATCAATCACCATTTGAGGACTGTTTTTGAACCCGGCACTCTAGCACTTCATGCTGTCCACGGTATGGGCAATCACCTGGTGTAAGCACACACATATATCCTGGAAGATGTGTCAAAGTCCAAACGTCAGTGCACTTCTCGGTCAGTACTTGGAAAAGGCTGTTTCGGCAATGCTTTGATTATTATCAGGAAGATAAAATAACAGTAAAACCTACCTGAACTATCCATCTTATCATGAGAAAGAGACAGTCTAAGTCCTAAAACACCAGTCTTTGTTCAGAGGAGGAGTCAGAACACAGAAGCTGTGTTCCAAAGTCAGTGCTTGGTCACATATGGTATAAAAAATAACTTCTCTCTTCCTCATTTCCCACATTACTAATATGTTTCCTATCAGAAATACCTTTAGATTTTAAATAAAACTTAAAACTCTATTTTTATGATAACTGTATTATTGACTGTGACAATTAATTAATTCTCTAGGATTAACTTTATGAAGACTCAGTAATTACACTTAGGCCTACCCTAATAAGCAACATTAATAGGAAATGAAATTTTACAAACCAGAGAAGGAGTTTATACCCTTATTTACTTGATTCCCCAATTTTATTCTCAAATGGTGATATAACATCTTTCACATTAAAAAAAGCAAGTACTTAAATTTCATGAAATATTTGCAACACCATAACAACCATTATATATGAAAACCTCAGCATGTGTCTATAAATATTAATTAAATAAATCATTTTATGATCAATTTATGATTTGGGGGCTGCACTAGCAGTCTGTCTCCACAGAATCACCTGAATTAACAGCATGGTCATCACTAGCAGCTATTTTCTTGATAAATAATACCAATTGTTACTGTGAATACTTTTGTACAGATGGGGCTAAAAGATCAAAGCAATTCCAATACTGTAGTATAACAGAGCACTTCTGCAGTGCTAACATGAAATATTCCAAAATCCAACTGCCGTATAGAAGGAGTGTAGTTTAGTAAGGCATTCTCTAACATTAGAGTATTTAAGATGGCATTTTATAATTTTACAACACAAATTTACTTTTATTGGGTGGTTGCGGCAGTGGGGAGAAGAGGGGAGGGCAAATGAAGAAATGGTTTTTCTAGTAAATTTGTTTTTTTTACTGGCTACAGCTCCACTTAGGGGTTAAATGTGTGGGCCCCAGAGACAAGAGTACTTGGCCTTAATCCTGGTCCCATCTTTTAGTAGCTATGAAACATCTGCTTACCAGCCTCTCTGGGAGTTTACCATTTTAAGCTGTAGGACTGAATTTATAGGAGAAAAGGCAGTGGGTGCCACATTTTCTTAATATTTCAACATTTTTCTGTTGTATTTTTTCACATGAAAGAACCTGTGTATGCATATACACTACTTCAGGGATCACAGTAATTTTCATTCTTTAAGTTCTGAACTGAATTAATTAATTTTTATCAACTAATAATTACTTTAGGGTATTTTTTTTTATTTAAAAAGTGCTCATTATCTATTATTTCATGGATATAATTACGTACCATTTCATGGCTACATTATCATAATTGCTAGTTTATATAAAAGATTCTAAAAATTTAAAAAAATCACTGGGCAAGTGAAGCAAATCTGAGTCATTTTCCATGTGTCATAAGGATGTAATTCTTATATTTGCATTTCTAAACCTAAAATAATAAAAGCATATAATTTCTCTGCATTAGATTTATGGTGTGCTTCCAAATGAGAAACAATTTTCTATCATAGTTCATTTTAAGCATCCTAAATGACTTAGTCTGGGGTTTCTCAGAATGTGCTCTATGAGTTGGTATCAAGTTCTTAATTCAAAGATCAGTAGTACATTTGAGAATCCAGGTAAAATAATGTTAATTTGCTTCTTTACTATGGGACCTTTCAGAGTCTTTATAGTATGTTGGTATCATTATTGTTCTTTGAAAGAGCAGTCCTCCCAGAACTTATCTGGCCATGGATACTTGACTTTCTGGACAGCCGTCATGACTAGTGTTCTCTGAACATACTCTGGGAAACACTTGCTTTTTCCTTATTTCTTTCAAATATCTTTTAGTTCCTATAGATACCATGTATTTCATACACACACTCCCCTAAACTTGGAGTACACTGCTCAGTAAACATGACTGAGCTGACCCAAACATTTCAGTTAAATAAACCTAATGTTTTAGGTCAAAATCTGATGCCAAATATGCACATAAATAGCATATATTAGAACACAGTACACAGCAACTGTCTGAATTCTATGATTTTACTAACCTAAGAGGAATTTCACAATGTTTTTTTAGCTCTGGGGCATCAGAATACTTCAAGAAACTGTTCAGTTTAAAAAGATTACTAGAAGGACACTGTAATGAAAAAGTAGTGGGTAGTTACCACATTTTTACTGGACCCCATAATCCCAGTACATTTCAGTTAAACTAAGAGGTTGGCAACACGTCAGACAGGCTGTGCTCTCCAGGGCCATGACAAGAATGAGGACTGGGATCCTACTTCCAGAGAGGACGGGATCAGAACTGTGGCAGGCTGCCAAGTTACATGAGAGAAGAAGGAATAGTTTTCTCCTTTCTGGGGAAGCATGGAGGAATATATTTGCTGCTGTACAGATTCAGAAATGAGGAGACAGGATAAAAAGTACTTCTTTAGAAGAGGGCGGGGGTCCCTGGAACAAATGGCAAGAGGCCCAGGATGGTAGTGACTGTGGCTTTCACAAGTCAGGGTTACAGGCAGAGAATGTGGTGACCAGCCCGTATCAGGGAATGCCAGGTCCTGGACACCTGGGTGGACAGGCTATGGCATGTAGATCTCAAAGGCAAGCCTATAGTTTAGGTTTGTTTCCTCATCCGGCAATGTCATTTTTTTCTCTTTTCAACATGATGAAATCCTACTAATTCTTCAGGACTTATGCCCTTGACACTTTTCCCAAGTTCAGCGATAATTTGAGCTTTGGCTTCTGTGCACTTTGCTTATACTTCTACTGTGCCATGTGTTACATGCTGAACAGTGTCCCCCCAAAATTCATATGCTGAATCCTAACCTCCAAGTACCTTGGAATGTGACTTTATTTGGAGACAGGGCTTAAAGAGGTTAAGGTAAAATGAGGTCATCAGGGGGCCCTAATCCAGTATGACCGTTGTCATTATAAGGAGAGCCTGGGACCCAGACACAGAGGGAGGACCACATAGAGATGCAGGGAGAAGATGGCCACCTACAAACCAAGGAAAGAGGCCTCAGAAGAAACCAACACCAGTGACACTTTGATCTTGGACCTCTAGCGTCCAGAATCATGAGAAAAAAAATTGTGTTGTTTAAGCCATCCAATGTGTGGTACTTTGCTATGCAGTACCAGCAAACTAATATACTGCATTATAGTTGTGTGATATTAAAGCAATCATTTTGGATCTGCTGTTTTGTTTCTCTCTGCCTTCATACCTTTACACACATTCTTCTTCTACCTGGAATGTCTTTCTCCCTTTGCCTAAAGAATGCCTAACTATTCCCCAAAACACATTCCAGGTGTGCTGTTCCCAGGAAAGCTGTCCTTGAACACTCCAGCCAGAAAGAAGGACTCCTCTTTTCTCCATTTGTGCATGTAAAAACACCTATTACAATACCTCAAAGTGTAACACAGCTCCTAGACTGCAAAATTCATGGGTACAGGGACGATGCCTTATTTATTCTTCATCTACATCAACCACCATGATCCCTGACACA